ACTGCTACCCATATAGACTGTAGTGTATAGACTCAACACTGCCACTCGTAGACTCAACACTGCTACCCATATAGACTCAGTGTAGTGTATTGAATCAACATTGCTACCCATATAGACTGTAGTGTATAGACTCAACACTGCCACTCGTAGACTCAACACTGCTACCATATAGAATCAGTGTAGTGTATTGACTCAACACTGCTACCCATATATACTCAGTGTAGTGTATAGACTCAACACTGCTACGATATAGAATCAGTGTAGTGTATTGACTCAACACTGCTACCCATATAGACTCAGTAGTGCATAGACTCAACACTGCTACCCATATAGACTCAATAGTGTATAGACTCAACACTTCCACTCGTAGACTCAACACTGCTACCATATAGAATCAGTGTAGTGTATTGACTCAACACTGCTACCCATATAGACTCAGTGTAGTGTATAGAATCAACACTTCCACTCGTAGACTCAACACTGCTACCCATATAGACTCAGTAGTGCATAGACTCAACACTGCTACCCATATAGACTCAGTAGTGTATAGACTCAACACTGCTACCCATATAGACTCAGTGTAGTGTATAGAATCAACACTGCTACCCATATAGACTCAGTGTAGTGTATAGAATCAACACTGCTACCCATATAGACTGTAGTGTATAGACTCAACACTGCCACTCGTAGACTCAACACTGCTACCCATATAGACTCAGTGTAGTGTATAGAATCAACACTTCCACTCGTAGACTCAACACTGCTACCCACAGACTCAGTAGTGCATAGACTCAACACTACTACCCATATAGACTCAGTGTAGTGTATAGAATCAACACTGCCACTCGTAGACTCAACACTCCTACCCATATAGACTCAGTAGTGCATAGACTCAACACTGCTACCCATATAGACTGTAGTGTATAGACTCAACACTGCCACTCGTAGACTCAACACTGCTACCATATAGACTCAGTGTAGTGTATTGACTCAACACTGCTACCCATATAGACTCAGTGTAGTGTATAGACTCAACACTGCTACCCATATATACTCAGTGTAGTGTATAGACTCAATACTGCTACCCATAGAGACTGTAGTGTATAGACTCAACACTGCCACTCGTAGACTCAACACTGCTACCCATATAGACTCAGTGTAGTGTATAGAATCAACACTGCTACCCATATAGACTCAGTAGTGCATAGACTCAGTAGTGCATAGACTCAACACTGCCACTCGTAGACTCAACACTGCTACCCATATAGACTCAGTGTAGTGTATAGAATCAACACTGCCACTCGTAGACTCAACACTGCTATCCATATAGACTCAGTAGTGCATAGACTCAACACTGCCACTCGTAGACTCAACACTACTACCCATATAGACTCAGTGTAGTGTATAGAATCAACACTGCCACTCGTAGACTCAACACTGCTACACATATAGACTGAGTAGTGCATAGACTCAACACTGCTACCCACATAGACTCAGTAGTGTATAGACTCAACACTGCTACCCATATAGACTCAGTGTAGGGTATAGACTCAACACTACTACCCATATAGACTCAGTGTAGTGTATAGACTCAACACTGCCACCCAGTCTCAATACTGCTACCCATATGGACTCAGTAGTGTATACTCAACACTGCTACCCATATAGACTCAATAGTGTATAGACTCAACACTGCCACTCGTAGACTCAACACTGCTACCATATAGACTCAGTGTAGGGTATAGAATCAACACTTCTACCCATATAGACTCAGTGTAGGGTATAGACTCAACACTGCCACTCGTAGACTCAACACTGCTACACATAGACTCAGTGTAGTATATAGACTCAGTAGTGTATAGACTCAACACTGCTACCCATATAGACTCAGTAGTGTATAGACTCAACATTGCCACTTGTAGACTCAACACTGCTACCCATATACTCAGGGTAGGGTACAGACTCAACACTGCTACCCATATACTCAGTGTAGGGTAAAGAATCAACACTGCTACCCATATAGACTCAGTAGTGTATACTCAACACTGCTACCCATATAGACTCAATAGTGTATAGACTCAACACTGCTACCCATATATAGTGTAGTGTATAGACTCAACACTGCTACCCATATAGACTCAGTGTAGTGTATAGAATCAACACTGCTACCCATATAGACTGTAGTGTATAGACTCAACACTGCTACCCATATAGACTCAGTGTAGGGTATAGAATCAACACTGCTACCCATATAGACTCAGTGTAGTGTATAGAATCAACACTGCTACCCATATAGACTGTAGTGTATAGACTCAACACTGCTACCCATATAGACTGTAGTGTATAGACTCAACACTGCCACTCGGAGACTCAACACTGCTACCCATATAGACTCAGTGTAGTGTATAGAATCAACACTGCTACCCATATAAACTCAGTAGTGCATAGACTCAGTAGTGCATAGACTCAGTAGTGCAGACTCAACACTGCCACTCGTAGACTCAACACTACTACCCGTATAGACTCAGTGTAGTGTATAGAATCAACACTTCCACTCGTAGACTCAACACTGCTACTACCCATATAGACTCAGTAGTGCATAGACTCAACACTGCCACTTGTAGACTCAACACTACCCATATAGACTCAACACTGCCACTTGTAGACTCAACACTACTACCCATATAGACTCAGTAGTGCATAGACTCAACACTGCTACCCTTATAGACTGTAGTGTATAGACTCAACACTGCTACCCATATAGACTGTAGTGTATAGACTCAACACTGCCACTCGTAGACTCAACACTGCTACCCATATACTCAGTGTAGGGTACAGGCTCAACACTGCTACCCATATAGACTCAGTGTAGGGTATAGAATCAACACTGCTACCCATAGACTGTGTAGTGTATAGACTCAACACCGCTACCCATATAGACTCAGTGTAGGGTATAGAATCAACACTGCCACCCAGACCATACCCCTGTCACACACCTGTCAGCTCGTATTTTCTACCGTGACTTTACCTAAAGATCCAAACAGAATGGATTCGTGCATCTCAGGAAAGCTTCAAATCAAGATTTACCCGTAATCTTCGGCAGGAAATTTGAGTTCAGGTCCACACGGCATACAGCCATTTCAAAACGGCCAACATGAAATAAAAATGCGTCTATGGGGCCATCCATAAATGACGTCACACAACTAGGGGGGTCAGACGTTTGTGACGAGGGAGGGGGGGGCTTGAGAAATGTGACGTCACATCAAAATGCGCAAGTTTAACGCGTTCTACTTATTACATATTTTTTAAATGTTTTCTCCTACATCAGAGTGCAACGCCACGTTAAATACGCACTACAATGAGAATAGTTTTGATTTAAAGCTTTCGTGACTGCAGTGATTCATAGTCTTGGTTCTTTCGGTAAAGTCACGTTGAAGGGAAACAATAAAATATATATAAAACATATGTATTTTATTATTTTATTGTTTCCCTTCAACGTGACTTTACCGAAAGAACGAATATGAAAAATAAGTTAAGCGATTTGAAGCATGTTTTATATTTTTTTTGGGCGGGGGGGCAGCTGTGACGTCATATTTGAGGGGGGGGGGGTCTGACTTTGTGACGCCGTGAGGGGGTCAAAAATCGTCCCAAATCGCGTGACATCATTTATGGACGGACCCTAAGGTAGGGCACTGATAACGGGTCGAGGTTTGATACTCGGCGCTGCCACCCAGAACCAGACCTGTCAACCCATAAAGTGTAAGGGAAATTTTTTACCCGGTCCACGCAGCGTTTCAATAACCTTGTCTGTTTCTCCCTTGCGATGGGATTTTGTAGGATGAACGTTGAGATTTATAAGGGGCGCCGGGGGTGACCAATGTCTTTAATTAAGGCACTAAAGGGTTGACAGGTATGTAGTAGTGTAGTGTGTAGGATGAATGTTGAGATTTATAAGGGGCGCCAGGGGTGACCAATGTCTTTAAGGCACTAAAGGGTTGACAGGTATGTAGTAGTGTAGTGTATAGGATGAATGTTGAGATTTATAAGGGGCACCGGGGGTGACCAATGTCTTTAATTAAGGCACTAAAGGGTTGACAGGTCTGTAGTAGTGTGAGATTTATAAGGGGCACCGGGGGTGACCAATGTCTTTAATTAAGGCACTAAAGGGTTGACACAGGTCTGTAGTAGTGTAGTGTGTAGGATGAATGTTGAGATTTATAAGGGGCACCGGGGGTGACCAATGTCTTTAATTAAGGCACTAAAGGGTTGACAGGTATGTAGTAGTGTGTAGGATGAACGTTGAGATTTATAAGGGGCACCGGGTGTGACCTATGTCTTTAATTAAGACACTAAAGGGTTGACAGGTATGTAGTAGTGTGTAGGATGAACGTTGAGATTTATAAGGGGCACCGGGGGTGACCAATGTCTTTAAGGCACTAAAGGGTTGCCAGGTCTGTAGTAGTGTAGTGTGTAGGATGAATGTTGAGATTTATAAGTGGCACCGTGGGTGACCAATGTCTTTAACTAGGGCACTAAAGGGTTAACAGGTATGTAGTAGTGTAGTGTATAGGATGAATGTTGAGATTTATAAGGGGCACCGGGGGTGACCAATGTCTTTAAGGCACTAAAGGGTTGACAGGTATGTAGTAGTGTAGTGTATAGGATGAATGTTGAGATTTATAAGGGGCACCGGGGGTGACCAATGTCTTTAATTAAGGCACTAAAGGGTTGACAGGTATGTAGTAGTGTGTAGGATGAATGTTGAGATTTATAAGGGGCACCGGGGGTGACCAATAAGATCTGTAGTGGTCTGTAATTAGGGCACTCAGGGGTTGACAGCTATGTAGTGTAGTGTCGTGTGTAGGATGAATGTTGAGATTTATAAGGGGCACGGGGTCACCAATAAGGTTCGAATTGGTCCGTAAATAAGGCAGGGGGCACTGTTAAGGGGTCCACAGCGATTAATTCGGATAAACCGCGCACATTCACGGGAATATTTTTTTTGCTCATCAAATTCGCGTTGTAAAAAACGCCGCGCTACTGAACGGACTGCACTTCAGCCTTGATACACTTCACCCTTGATACGCACGAGGCCGGAGGGTTCAGAAATCGTCCCGGAATATTTTTTTTACTGGAGAAATCCGATGAGCTATGAAGCTCTTCTACACCCCCCCCCCACACCTCCCCCAATTGACCGTGAATAAATGACCGTGTACTCACCCCACCTGGTCTACTGCCTCCTCCTCCTCCTGAGTTTTCAGCAGCGCCACTCCCCCCCCAAACTCTTCCGTTGACGAAGCCGACCCAAGCCCAGGCCGGCGGTGTTCCACCCTCGCCCTTGTCAAATCGAGCAGAGAGTGGCTCCCGGCACTCCCACCTTACCCGGAGCCCAATCTTGCGCGGGATGCGAATGTCCGAGGTGGACGTCTCACCTTGTCGGGGCACAGCGATGACACGCGGACTTAACGGCGCTGTTGCAACAGCAGCAGCAGCCGCCGCCGCCATCGTGCGGTGGGTGAAGTCCCGCAGGTCGTGCGAGGTAAAAAAGTAGTGAGGCGAAGTCGTGGACAGCGTGAGGTGAAGTGTGAGGTGAAGTCGTGGGTCGTGTGAGGTGAAGTCGTGTAAGGTGAAGTGTGAGGTGAAGTCGAACGTCGTGTGAGGTGAAGTTGTGAATCGTGTAAGGTGAAGTGTGAGGGGAAGTGTGAGGTGAAGTTTGAGGCGAAGTCGTGGGTCGTGTGAGGTGAAGTCGTGGACCGTGCGAGGTGAAGTGTGAGGTGAAGTCGTGGACCGTGCGAGGTGAAGTGTGAGGTGAAGTCGTGGGTCGTGTGAGGTGAAGTGTGAGGTGAAGTCGTGTGAGGTGAAGTCGTGGGTCGTGTGAGGTGAAGTCATGGGCCGTGTGAGGTGAAGTGTGAGGCTAAGTCGTGGGTCGTGTGAGGCGAAGTCGTGGGTCGTGTGAGGTGAAGTTGTGGGTCGTGTGAGGTGAAGTCGTGGACCGTGTGAGGTGAAGTGTGAGGCTAAGTCGTGTGAGGTGAAGTCGTGGGTCGTGTGAGGTGAAGTGTGAGGTGAAGTCATGGGCCGTGTGAGGTGAAGTGTGAGGCTAAGTCGTGGGTCGTGTGAGGTGAAGTCGTGGGTCGTGTGAGGTGAAGTCGTGGACCGTGTGAGGTGAAGTCGTGGACCGTGTGAGGTGAAGTGTGAGGTGAAGTCGTGGGTCGTGTGAGGTGAAGTCGTGGGTCGTGTGAGGTGAAGTCGTGGGTCGTGTGAGGTGAAGTGTGAGGTGCAGTCGTGGGTCGTGTGGGGTGAAGTGTGAGGTGAAATTGTGGGTCGTGTGAGGTGAAGTCGTGGGTCGTGTGAGGTGAAGTGTGAGGTGAAGTTTGAGGCGAAGTCGTGGGTCGTGTGAGGTGAAGTCGTGGGTCGTGTGAGGTGAAGTCATGGGCCGTGTGGGGTTAAGTGTGAGGCGAAGTCATGGGCCGTGTGGGCAGTGCGAGGGGGGGGGGGGAGGGGGAACGACCACGCATGAGGAGACCCACAGCTCCGTGCGGTGCGGCAGCTTCACGCACGGCGTTACGCGGCCGACGAGATGCCGTTGATCCTGCCCGTCCGAATTCCAAGCGAAACTTCCGCTGTCAAACCAGAACCGGTCATCAGCACGCACGCACGCACGCTGGCCAGGTAGGGGGGGGGGGGTCACACTCTCCACTCTCTCAACGCCACACGACACGAATCGGAACGCAGACACAGGTACGTGTACACAAACACACAACTCGCGACCACAAAGTGGCGGCGACGTCACCACCACGGCGCTTGTGCCAGGGGCCAGGCGAGCCGAGGCTTTTGCAAGGTGCGCATACGTACCAATATACACGGGTCACAATCACAATCGCACACACACACACACACGCGGTCACATTCGCACACTGCCACAGTGGGCTGTCGAGATCGTTCGGCCAAGGTGGAGGTTTTCCCCGCATGCGATGACGGTCGAGAGGGTCGTGTGTGTGTGTGTGATCAGCAGCTGGACAGTGTGCAAAGCGAAGCGTGTAACTACGTACGGACGCCGGGACCTCTTTCGCACCCTACGTAGCCCAACCCGTGATAAAATTGGGAGGTGCGGGGAAAGTCAAAGTCGCGTGGCAGTGCCGCATTCGTCAAAGAGGCTCACGGGTTCGAAGCCATCGGCCGACCTGGTTAATATTTAGCAAGCGCGTCAACCGCGGAAAAACGGCTGCTTCGCGCCATTTGCTCAAACGGTCGAAACCCAACTTTATATTTTACCTACCAGGTTTCAGGGCTCACCGAGCTACATGGGTATTTTTTATTTAGAAGCGACCTGCCTATCGCAAATGATGTTGATTCTAAAATGTGGAGGGATAAAAACCCGGAGGGATGCGGGGAGAAATCCACGCGACCACGGTAAGAACACGGGATAAAACTCAGGACCTCCTGCATAACAGGCGAAGTCGTTGACATCGCCACCGCGGCGCCCCTATAAAAGATCCTACGTTGTTCATCGAGTTGGCCACGCGTAATTGAGGATGGATCTCTGCATCCGTGCGAGTCCATGGGTCCCCGGCAAGTCTGTGGGTATGTACGGCGGCCTGTTGGGTCTCCGTGCGAGTCTACTGGTCTCTGCATCTTTGTGGGAGTCCGCAGGTGTCTCTGCGCGAGGCCGCGGGTGTCAGTGCGCGAATCCGTGCGAGTCCGTGGGTCTCAATGTGCGGGGCTCTGTGCGAGTCTGGGTCTCTCTGCGAGTCATTTATAAGCAAGCGCCCAAAACAAACACACACACAAAACACCACAGCCGCTTGCAATGCACGTCAATGCACAGATCAACACACGATGGGCGGGGGGGGGGAGGGCTGTAAGCAACACATGGGGGTGGTACGGTCAGACGTAACACAGATTAATACATCAATGTTAATGAAGTGTCAACTTTACCCAAATCCTAACGCACATCCGGTCCAGGGCTTTGGATCCCAGCAAAGAGGGGAGGGTCGGCTCCTCCGGAATCCAAGCGAGATTCCAAATCCGTTCCGCGTTTTGATTTTTTGGATTCGCCAAAATTGCCTGGTGGCCGCCAATTTCATCCAGGTTTTGGATTCCCAGCGAAGGGGGTGTGTGATGGGGTGGGGGTGGTCACTCCTCGACAATCCAAGCGAGATTCCAAATCCGTTCCGTGTTTTGTTTTCACGAGGTTTTTTTTTTGCTTTGTCTGGGGGGGGGGGGGGTCTCCTCCTTCCTTCTGACCGCCAATTTCATCCACGATATAAAAAAAAAATGGGGAAAAAAATAAATAATCGCAGACGGGGGGGGGACGTACGGACGGACGATCGAGTGGAAATTTAACAAGTCCAGGTGAGCGGTGCGTTGTTACTCCGAGGGGGGTGGAGATCCAGGAGCTCATGGCGAGTCCGATTCATCGGTTAACGAGCTTATCGAGCGGTGCCTTCCGACCGGGCCGATAAATCTGCTCCGAGATCGCGTGAATTCCTCCTCCTCCTCCTCTCCATCGAGGGTGGGGGTGACGGTGGTTCCGAGGCATCCAAATTTTGAACTCTCCAGCGAGGGTGAAAAGAAATCAAAAATAAAATGATTTTTTTTAACGTAAAACAAAATCCTGTTGCGCTGAATCCGTTGGGTGTAAATTGGAATCGGAGGGAGGGGGGTGGTTACAATCCGCGTGGCGCATCCAGAGAATCCGTTTCCTTTCCCTGAGAGCAATCCGTTTTTTTGTTTTCTCATCTGAGGGGGGCGGGGGGGGGGGTTTCTCTCTCTCCTCGGCAGATTTCCTAACGGGGTTTTCCTGGCGCCGGCGTTCACGGCAAATCCGTTTTTTTCGAATCCAGAACGATTGCGCAAAATCCACAACGGGTCCTTCCTCCGTATACGGAACGGACCTGGGTACACAGGGGGAGAGGAAGGTGGTCGGTGGTGGTAGCGGTGGGGGGAAGGGGCGGGCGGGCGCCTTTTCCCCCAATTTGCGTGCGACTCCAAAACGTTTTTTTTATTCTTGGGAGGCACCCCGCCCCGGACGAGCGATTTTGCCAGCCCTCCTTTTCCGCTTTTCCGTCTTAGCGCTCCCCCCCCCTCTCTCTCTCTCCCTCCCTCCCACCCACCCACCACCACCACCACCACGACGTCCCCCCCACCCCCGCTCTTCCCCTGTCCATCCATCATCGGATCCTCGGACTCCCAGAGAGACTCCTACTCCTCCTCATGCTCCTCCTCATGCTCCTCCTCATGCTCCTCCTTCCTGTCCCTGCGACCGCATGCGTCCTGGGGCGTCTGCTGGTCTCTTCCCGCCACCCCCGCCCTCACCCTTCGCCCGCCGCGTCTTTATGCGTTTTCCTGCGGCCGAAGTGTCCGCGTCTATTGCCGAGTGAATCCAAAATCCAAACAGCGCGTGTGTGGCTTTTTTTTGGTGGTTGCTTTTCCAGACGACTAGAACGTTTTGGCGGGGGTTTTTTTTTGTTTGTGTTTGTCCGAACCCGCGAGACGGTCCAATTGGGTCATTGGTGGTGGCGGCGGTGGTGGCGGTCGCAGATGCAGATCCACGGTGGTGTGCATCCTACGAGCCTTGGCCTTGTTCCTCATCCCGTGGTCCCCTACTTTTTGTTTTTTTTTAAATCGCAGACTCCTCTCGGTCAAAGTTCGTTCGTTTTTTTTGTTTTTGGGGGGGGGGGAAGGGGAGGGGAGGGGGGTGTTTTGAACGGAAATTGCTCACAAGGTAGTTCGCAAAAAGTTTTCCACCCCACACCGCGGGCTACCGCTAAATTCCGCTCATCGTCGCGATCATCATCATCATCATCATCGTCGGCTTGTCCCGCTAACGACATCATCGTCATCATCACCGGGGGGGCATCATCGACATCATCCGGACATCCAAAATGATCCGGCGTCTGAGCCCGAGTCCGAACGACACCTTCGTCCCAGCACAAGCAAGACACAAGGAGGCACAACAGTTAGACACGAGGAACAAACTCGGGACGCAAGAGACACAAAATAGACAAAGCTCAGTTATTTCTGACCTCTTTCAATCCCTCCCCCCCAGTATTGGTTGGGGGGGGGGGCAGGGGAGGAGGGGGGGTGAGGTGGGCACACCCATGACCAAACATAGCGCGGAACGCAACACTCCCGGCGGGCGCGTCACCAAAGCACAACGCGGCGAGCGATAACTACCCCGAGCAATTTGTCGACGTGGGTAAGAACACAGGGGTGATGTAAATACATTTGGTTTTGTTTTTTTGTAAGTGAATTTATTCGTGTGTAGTAACGTGTTTAACCGGGAGGAGGAGGAGGAGGGGGCGGGGGGGGACTTACAAAAAAAGGATTGGGGAAGGGGGGGTGGGGGGGCAGTCGTGCGGTTTTGACCAAAAAGAGTTCAAGCAGCGGCGAAGAACCTCAACGGATGAATCCAACGACTTCGTTAATTACCAACACCACAAATTTGCCGTAGATTTCTCAGTTTTTTGTTTGTTTTATACCCCCTGCCCTTCCCCGCGCTGCCTGCCCATCCCACCATGCCCCCCCCCCGCCCCCCACCCCACACCACTCTTATTTCCAAAACCAAAATTTTAAACATTTACATCGGCGGACATCACATACAGCCCCCCACCACCACCACCGCTCAAAACGATTACAAATATTCACCCCCACCCCCGCCCGCTCGCCGCCACGCGCCCCACAACACTGGACATGTAAATTAAAATCGGTGGGGGGGGGGGGGAAACGTCAAATTATTTCCTTTTTTGCCCCCCCAAATAAAACATAAAAAAAAACATTCAAACGGACGAGGCCGCTGTCAGGCTATCCAGGCTAACAGGGCTGACCAGGCTGCCCGAGGCTGAACAGGTTACCCAAGGTTGCCCAAAGGCTGCCCAAGGCTACCCCCCCCCCCCCCCCAAGGGGTGCCCCCGCCCATGGCTGCCCAGGCTACCCACTAGGCTGGGGAGAATTGAATAAACACCAAGGGGAAGAACGGCAAAAACGGCACAAGAGGAGGGACCACTCCCTCTCCCTGCCCACGTGTGCACCATCAGCCAGCCACTTCATGACCTTCCTGGGGGGGGGCTCCTCTAGGGTCGAGTGGTGAACCCCTCCCCCCCCCCCCCCAACAAATAAAAACTCAACTCAATCGGGAGCCTAACACAGGGGTTCCTGCAACTAGGGGTGAGGGCAACATCGGGGCTAATGTTGACGGTGGAGGAGGGGGCACTGATCTAATTCTAACGACCCAAGCCCAACCACCCTTTCAAGAAGCGATGCTGACGAAAGACAGACGTGGTGGTGGTGGGATGATGAGAGACGTGGTGGAGGTGGGATGATGAGAGACGTGGTGGTGGGATGAGAGAGATGTGGTGGTGGTGGGATGATGAGACGTGGTGGTGGGATGAGAGAGAGAGACGTGGTGGTGGTGGGATGAGAGAGATGAAGTGGTGGTGGGATGCGAGAGACGTGGTTGGATGAGAAAGATGACATGGTGGGATGAGAGAGACGTGGTGGTGGGATGAGAGAGATGTGGTGGTGGTGGGATGAGAGAGACGTGGTGGTGGGTTGAGAGAGAGACGTGGTGGTGGGATGAGAGACGTGGTGGTGGGATGAGAGAGAGAGACGTGGTGGTGGGATGAGAGAGAGACGTGGTGGTGGGATGAGAGAGAGACGTGGTGGTGGGATGAGAGAGAGAGACGTGGTGGTGGGATGAGAGAGAGACGTGGTGGTGGCATGAGAGAGAGAGACGTGGTGGTGGGATGAGAGAGAGACGTGGTGGTGGGATGAGAGAGAGACGTGGTGGTGGGATGAGAGAGAGAGACGTGGTGGTGGGATGAGAGATGACGTGGTGGTGGGATGAGAGATGACGTGGTGGTGGGATGAGAGAGAGACGTGGTGGTGGGATGCTGAGAAACGTGGCGGTGGGATGAGATGACGTGGTGGTGGGATGATGAGAGGGAGTCGACGTGGTGGTGGGATGGAGACAGCAGCATGAGAAGCGTGGTGGTGAAAGAGGTGACGGACGGCGAGACAAGAGAAGCAGACAGGACGACGCGGCTTGAACGGAAGCGGACGAGCTCGTTAGGGGTATTGCGACTGACTAATTGGGACGCGAGGGCGGGATTATCGACCTCGTGGTTGTGACCAGAAATTGAACGAGATCATGCGCGACGCGGCCGCGTCAATTAAAGAGTAAACCCCCGAGTGACACCGTCAAAGTCAGCTTGCTTGGGGAGGAGGGGAGAGGCCCTCGTTTTTGTGTTTTTTTTAGTTTTGCCGAGTCTGCTCAAGCCCAGCGCCACCGCTCTTGGAGAAGGTGCCCCCTGACTACTGCCGCCCGCCACCCCCCCCACCACACCCCCACGACATCCATCCCCTAAAAACAATTTAAACAAACAGCGCGGACGACGTCACACGAGTGTCTTGGGGGGGAGAAAAAGGAAAAACCAAACGTCAGCAGCTGCCAAGGCTTTTCAGAGTCGAACGACGGATCCAGAGTCTTAAAGCTAACGGGGGGAGGGGGTGGGGTGGGTCGGGGGGGAAGAAGGTGGTGATGGTCTAGACCATGACAATATCAAACTGAACAAATTCATTATTTTTTTTGGCCAAGGTTAAGACCCTGCTAAATATTTAAACGAGCAAGCCCTCCCCAACGGCGAGAGGCTCAGCACCTTCCGCGTCAGCCATCCGGGCAAGATTTTCCTCAGCATGACTTTATTCATTTATAAACTACACAAAAAAAAAAACCACTAAACTTTTTTTTTTTACACCAGCTGTAAGGCCCCAACTGAGCAATTAGGCTCTTCTTCAGAAGCGGCCGGGGCAATAAAAAAAATGGTAGCTCGACTTATAGTCGCCAAAGGGGCTCTTAAAACGCGCGACGTTAATTCTAAAATGTGGAGGGGGTAAAATCCACGTGACCACCACGGGGGGAAGAAGGGGGGGGGGGGGGGGGACATGCAAACTCATCGTCAGGGTCGGGATCGAACCCACGACCCTCCTTCCTGCGTACCAGGCGAGGTGGTTAACATCTCGCCACCGTAGGGGAGGGGGGGGGGAGGCCATTAACAGGACGCCTCGAAGATTTGGCCCGTTAACAAATCGCAGGCGCGAGAACAGCTGCAGACGTCTGGCGGCGAGGGGTGGGCGGTGTACGGGGGGAGGGTGTGGTGGGGGTGTGGTGGGGGGTTGTGTTTCAAGCTGCGCGCGTGTAAAAAACAAGAAAAAAAATTATCTCCCGGAAGCCAAGACCGGCCAACAGTGTCTAGTAAAAAAAATAACAAAACACCCCCCCCCCCCAACCCACACCCCCACCCCCGACAAGAGGGAGATTAAATTTTCGAGTTGATAAATAAAACAAAAACTTAAAAAAAAAATAATAATCAGAATTTACTTCGTCTCTGAGCATCGGGGGAAGGCAACTATTGACGGACGGGGGGGGCACCACCCAAAAGACGGGATACACCGGTTTGCGTGCGACGGTCAGGCGAGCAACCGGGTCCGGTTGCGCGCAGGCGAGCAACCGACGGGGCGAGCCGCCGGTGCCGCTTGACGCTCTCGCGATGCGGGGCGGGGGAAAGGGGGGAAAGGGGGGCCCTAGATTTGGAGCGCGGGGAGAGTCTCTCTCTCCCCACCCCCCTCCTCCTCCTCCTCGCCGCCAACCGCGTCACAACCAAGAAACTGTGCGTGCTATAGCCACCGTGTTTTTTTTTTGTTTATGGCCCAGTGGCGGGAAGGAATCAATCGCCCCACCTCCTGCGACCAGCAAAGTCAACGGACCGCCTGTCCTGGATTATAAGACGCCCCCCCCCCGCCCCGCCCCGCCCCCCTCGCACGTCATCAGCCTGCAAGCGGTAGCGTTGAGTACGCTCGCATCAGCGCCAGTGGCGTCAGCGTGAGAGAGCACCAGGCCTGGCCTGGCCTGGCCTGGCCTGGCCTGGCCTGGCGCCGCGCTGAGGTCCCCGTGTCACTTAAGCGACGAGCGGCGGGCACTGCTAACCTACGTGACCAGATCAGAAGTGGTGGTGGGATGCGAGAGACGTGGTTGGATGAGAAAGATGACATGGTGGGATGAGAGAGAAGTGGTGGTGGGATGCGAGAGACGTGGTTGGATGAGAAAGATGACATGGTGGGATGAGAGAGACGTGGTGGTGGGATGAGAGAGAGACGCCGGCGGCACGGCGGGGCGGGGGTTCACCTTACGTCGGAGGGCCTTTTGCAATCGGTGGGGTCTATGGAAAAGGGGGGGGGGGGGGCTTCGCTCGTGCGCTGCCTTCCCCATGCTCAGGTGGTGTCATGTTAACACGACACGAGGGGGGGGGCGTGGGGGTGGGGGAGTTTAGAGGGGGGAGGGGTAGGGGGCCGCGTGGGAGGAGGGGTGAGGTAGCGCCGTACCATCCAGCGCGCCGTCCATCACAATCCCCGGCATCCACACCCCGATGCCCACATGAACCACGTGTAGGGGGGAGAGGAGAAGTCTGCTACTCCAGGGGCTGCGCCACCTCCTCCACCTCCTCCTCCTCCACCACCACCACCACCACCACGTTGCCCTCCCCCTCTGCCTCACCTCACGCCCCTTCCTCGCCTCTACAAGGGGGCGACACCAATGGCAGCTGCAACTCGCAACGACAACAACAACCACAGGGATACCCAGTCAGCGTGTTGTACGCGTGCGTGTTGTACGCCTGTGTTGTACGCCTGTGTTGTACGCGTGTGTTGTACGCGTGTGTTGTACGCCTGTGTTGTACGCGTGTGTTGTACGCCTGTGTTGTACGCGTGCGTGTTGTACGCCTGTGTTGTACGCGTGTGTTGTACGCGTGTGTTGTACGCCTGTGTTGTACGCCTGTGTTGTACGCGTGCGTATTGTACGCGTGCGTGTTGTACGCCTGTGTTGTACGCGTGCGTGTTGTACGCGTGCGGATGCTGTGTGTGTGTGCGGACGCCGTACGTGTGCTATATGCGTGCGTGGATGCCATCCGTACGTGGGTCAGAAGCTATGGGCACGTGTGTGTGCGTGATATACGTACGTGTGTAATATACGTACGTGTGTGTGTGCTATACGCGCGTGTGTGCGCGTGTGTGCGCGTGCTATACGCGCGTGTGTGTGGGTGCTACATGCGCGTGCATGTGTGCCACACATACGCGTGCGTGCGTGTGTGTGCGTGTGTGTGCGTGCCATGCGTACGTGGGTGGGTGCAATCCGCGCGCCGCTCCCCCCCCTCCCCCCCCAGGGCGCCCCGGGCTCAGCTCCGTGAGCGCGAGCGCGAGCGGTCGTTGGAGTAGCGGGGAGAGCCGCGACTGCGCTTGGGCGAGTAGGAGCGCGAGCGCGAGCGGGAGCGCGAGCGGGAGCGCTCGTAGGAGGGGCTGCGGCCGCCGTCGATCCGCACGTGGACGTAGGAAGTCTCGCCCTGGCGGCGCACACGCGCGCAAAACAGAGGAAGGGGATCCCGCACGCACACACACACACACACACGCGCCACACACACACACACACACACACGCGCCACACACACACACACACGCACACGCCACACACACACACACACACGCCACACGCACACACACGCGCCACACACACACACGCGCCACACGCCACACGCCACACGCCACACACACACGCACACACACACACACGCGCCACACACACACACGCGCCACACGCCACACGCCACACGCCACACACACACACACGCCACACACACACACACACACGCGCCACACACACACACGCGCCACACGCCACACACACACACACGCACACCAACACCCCGACCAAAACACACGGTGTAGACTTCACCAGATGCTCTTCGCGACGCCACCCGGCAAACACGAGAGAGAGGCAATTCCGACCGAGAAAGATGGATTGTGGCTTAGCAATCATTGGAAAGGATTTGATCAACCATTTCAGGGGTCTTAATTGATTGTTCACGCTTACGGTGGCTTTCAGACCGCATCCATTATTTTTCGTCTCTCCCCCCCCCCCCCTCCTCTTTTCCGAACATAGATGGACTCATATTCTTAGTTTTTTCGGTAAAGTCACGTTGAAGGGAAACAACAAAATAATAAAATATATATAAAAACAATAAAAAATTCTCGCGACGTTTCGACCATAACTCAAACGGTCGTCTTCAGGTGTGTCGGTTTGCATAAATTTATTTTTAAACGGCGCATTTATTTATTTATCAAAAACGTTAGCGCCACGCGCAACGATTTGGCAGTTTATTTAGGACTAGTCCATCTATATTCTGAAAAGAGGAGGGGGGAGACGAATTTTTTTTATAATGTATGCTGTCTAAAAGCCACTGTAAGCGTGAACAATCAATTAAGACCTGAAATGGTTTATCAAATCTTTCCAATGATTGCTAAGATAGAATCCATCTTCTCGGTTGAAATTGTCATTGGAAGGATTTGATCAACCATTTCGGGTCTTAATTGATTGTTCACGCTTACGGTGGCTTTCAGACCGCATCGATTATTTTTCGTCTCCCCCCCCCCGCCCCTCCTCCTCCTCTTTTCCGAACATAGATGGACTCAAAATTTTGATTTAAAGCTTTCGTGACTGCAGTAATTCATATTCTTAGCTCTCTCGGTAAAGTCACGTTGAAGGGAAACAATAAAATATATAGATATATAGATATTTACAGATGGACTCGTCCATCTGAACGAACTGTCAAATCGCTCTCCGTGGTTGCTAACGTAAAAAAAAAACGCCACTTTGGAAAAAAAATCTCTTGCTGTGGTTTTCACACCCTGACGATGATGATTGCTGCTTAGTGTTGCAGTCGAAACGTCGTGAGAATTTTATTGTTTTGTATTTTTTATCATTTTATCGTTTCCCCTTCTACGTGGTGGTGACTTTACCGAAAAGAACCAAGAATATGAATCCCCGCAGTCGAGTTGCCGAGGGGGGCGAGCAAACTAACACGACCGGTTAGAGGATCATCGATCATCCGGCGGCTTGGGAAGCGGCGGATTTTATTTTTTAAACGCCGGATAATCGCGACTATGCTAATTCCTTTGTCAAGGGGTGCCTCTGCGGATGTGTATGCTTTAACTTTAGCATAGCCATTTCTGTGACCAGTCACAAAAGCTAATCACTCGGCCATTTCAATGCTAAATTTCTATGCTAATTCCTTTGTCAAGGCGCTTTGTTTCTTCTGACACAGCTTAAAGGTCGTGATCTGAACTTGGCTTTTTTCACTCCAGCGCTGTCCTACCAGACAGTCTCGTCCCTTCACCTGACGAAGGCCGCGCTTGTGTTGTGGCCGAAACGTCGTGAGAATATTATTGTGTAAATTTTATTTTATCAATTTATTATTTTATTCTCATTCTACGTGGTGGTGACTTTACCGAAACAACCAAAGAAGACATATTATTTTTGTTCAACAGTTTTACTTAACCCGATTCCTGTGTGTCGTGGTTAAATCTTGTAATCAAAAGTCAGTATACTTCCCGTTGTCCAATCAATTCCAAATGTTGCACACGTACTCAGATCCGGTGACAACGCACGCCTCCATCTAACTCGCCATCAATTCATTGCCTCCTTTCAAGCGATTACATTTTTTTTACATGGACGGCTTATCAATTATATATTTACCTATTATATTTTTGTAGTAATAGGTTTCACCTATCGAAATAGTAATAGGTTTCACCTAGGTGAAACCTATTACTATTTCGATTTAAAGCTTTCGTGACTGCAATGATTCATCTTCTTTGGTTCTTTCGGTAAAGTCACGTAGAATGAGAATAAAATAATAAATTGATAAAATAATATTCTCACGACGTTTCGGCCACAACACAAGCGGCCTTCATCAGGTGAAGGGACGAGACTGTTTACCAGACAGTCTCGTCCCTATATTATTGTGTTATTTTATTTTATCAATTTATTATTTTATTCTCATTCGACGTGACTTTACCGAAAGAACCAAAGAAGAAGACCTATTACTATATCTTGCTACTGGCAAAGGAGGTCCTCGCAATATATATTTTTGTGCAGATTAAAAACGGCGCGGTCCCCTTAAACTGCTGAATCGGCTCGCACAAAAAGCAGGCGCCGCGTCTATCTTGTTACATCAAGATGTCGTCCACTTCCCGTTGTCAAATAAAGTTGTTTATTTCAGTGCAACTTTGAAATAAAACCGTTGTTGATAAAACTTTTTTAAAGAAGTTTTTTGCACATTTTTGCACGATTTTAGGTGGTGTGCATACGTTTTTGTGTTTTAAATCTGTTTGCTGCTTGGGAATAACGAGACGGCGGTCCTTCATACGCAACGTCACCAAGAAGTCCTTTCAAGGGGCCGCGCGCGGCTCCGGGAGCCGAAAAGGTTGCCGATCCCCGGCACTAGATAGACTCCCACGTCTCTCCCCTCCACCTCCCCACTCTGCCTACCCTCCCCCCCCCATCTCTCCCTCCCCCCCACCTCTCCCTCTCTCCCTCCACCTCCCCACTCTGTCTACCTTCCCCCCCATCTCTATCTCTCCCTCCCCCCCCCCACTTCTCCCTCTCTCCCTTCACCTCATCCCCCTCCACCTCCCCCCTCTGCCTCCCCCCCCCATCTCTCCCTCCCCCCCCACCTCTCCCCCTCTCCCTTCACCTCATCCCCCTCCACCTCCCCCCCCCATCTCTCCCTCCCCCCCCACCTCTCCCTTCACCTCATCCCCCTCCACCTCCCCCCCATCTCTCCCTCCCGCCCCACCTCTCCCTCTCTCCCTTCACCACCCCCCCCCCCATCATCTCCCTCCCCCACCACCACCACCACCTCCGCCCTCCCCTCTCCGCCCCCCCACACACTCACCTCGTGCGATTTGAACTTGGTGTCGTCGAGTTTCCGCACGGCGTACTTCATGTCCTCCTTGCGCACGTACTCCACGACGCCTGTTCCGTCGCGAAACACGTCGGCGTAGCAGACGTCTCCCGCCTCGCGCATGTGGTCCTTCAGGTCCTGCCAGCTGCCTGTCGGAGGCAACCCTGGGGGCGAAGGGGAAGGCCGGGCGGCGGCGGGGTCGAGGCAAAGGTTACAGAATCAGAATCCGACCCGTGAGGCAGACATTCGCCGACCGGCGTGGCCAGGAACAGCGAGCCGCCCCGCGCACTTTTTTAAAATCGTCACCCACGCGCCGAGAACTCGTCTCTCTGGGAAACCGCCTGTCGTTGCGTTACAGCCGCTAGGGGGGTTGTTATGGGCAGCATTAAACAACAACAACAGCAACAAAACACCCCGCAAACTTTAAACAAGCTCCGATTGATGATGATGAGTGCATCGTCTTTGTTTTGCCACAAGCACCGCGTGTGGTTATAATGCAGACTTTGATGCCTTGAACATCTTAACACCGCCGCTGTCACAGCTCAGGTGAGAGACGATTACAGCTGTCACAGCTCAGGTGAGAGTCAATCACAGCTGTCACAGCTCAGGAGAGAGACAATCACAGCTGTCACAGCTGTCACAGCTCAGGTGAGAGACAATCACAGCTGTCACAGCTCAGGTGAGAGACAATACACAGCTGTCACAGCTCAGGTGAGAGACAATCACAGCTCAGGTGAGAGACAATCACAGCTCAGGTGAGAGACGATCACAGCTGTCACAGCTCAGGTGAGAGACAATCACAGCTGTCACAGCTCAGGTGAGAGACAATCACAGCTGTCACAGCTCAGGTGAGAGGCAATACACAGCTGTCACAGCTCAGGTGAGAGACGATAAACAGCTGTCACAGCTCAAGTGAGAGACAATCACAGCTGTCACAGCTCAGGTGAGAGACAATCACAGCTCAGGTGAGACAATACACAGCTGTCACAGCTCAGGTGAGAGACAATCACAGCTGTCACAGCTCAGGTGAGAGACAATCACAGCTCAGGTGAGAGACAATACACAGCTGTCACAGCTCAGGTGAGAGACAATCACAGCTGTCACAGCTCAAGTGAGAGACAATCACAGCTGTCACAGCTCAGGTGAGAGACGATCACAGCTGTCACAGCTCAGGTGAGAGACAATACACAGCTGTCGCAGCTCAGGTGAGAGACAATCACAGCTGTCACTGCTCAGGTGAGAGACAAGTCACAGCTCAGGTGAGAGACAAATCACAGCTCAGGTGAGAGACAATCACAGACAATCACAGCTGTCACAGCTCAGGTGAGAGACGATCACAGCTGTCACAGCTCAGGTGAGAGACAATCACAGCTGTCACAGCTCAGGTGAGAGACAATCACAGCTGTCACAGCTCAGGTGAGAGGCAATCACAGCTGTCACAGCTCAGGTGAGAGGCAATCACAGCTGTCACAGCTCAGGTGAGAGACGATCACAGCTGTCACAGCTCAGGTGAGAGACCATCACAGCTGTCACAGCTCAGGTGAGAGACAATACACAGCTCAGGAGAGAGACAATCACAGCTGTCACAGCACAGGTGAGAGACGATCACAGCTCAGGTGAGAGACAATCACAGCTCAGGTGAGAGACAATACACAGCTGTCACAGCTCAGGTGAAAGACGATCACAGCTCAGGTGAGAGGCAATCACAGCTGTCACAGCTCAGGTGAGAGGCAATCACAGCTGTCACAGCTCAGGTGAGAGACAATCAACAGCTGTCACAGCTCAGGTGAGAGACAATCAACAGCTGTCACAGCTCAGGTGAGAGACAATCACAGCTCAGGTGAGAGACAATACACAGCTGTCACAGCTCAGGTGAGAGACAATCACAGCTGTCACAGCTCAGGTGAGAGACGATCACAGCTCAGGTGAGAGACAATCACAGCTGTCACAGCTCAAGTGAGAGACAATCACAGCTGTCACAGCTCAGGTGAGAGACAATCACAGCTCAGGTGAGACAATACACAGCTGTCACAGCTCAGGTGAGAGACAATCACAGCTGTCACAGCTCAGGTGAGAGACAATCACAGCTCAGGTGAGAGACAATACACAGCTGTCACAGCTCAGGTGAGAGACAATCACAGCTCAGGTGAGAGACGATCACAGCTGTCACAGCTCAGGTGAGAGACAATACACAGCTGTCGCAGCTCAGGTGAGAGACAATCACAGCTGTCACAGCTCAGGTGAGAGACAAGTCACAGCTCAGGTGAGAGACAAATCACAGCTCAGGTGAGAGACAATCACAGACAATCACAGCTGTCACAGCTCAGGTGAGAGACGATCACAGCTGTCACAGCTCAGGTGAGAGACAATCACAGCTGTCACAGCTCAGGTGAGAGACAATCACAGCTGTCACAGCTCAGGTGAGAGACAATCACAGCTGTCACAGCTCAGGTGAGAGGCAATCACAGCTGTCACAGCTCAGGTGAGAGACGATCACAGCTGTCACAGCTCAGGTGAGAGACCATCACAGCTGTCACAGCTCAGGTGAGAGACAATACACAGCTCAGGAGAGAGACAATCACAGCTGTCACAGCTCAGGTGAGAGACGATCACAGCTCAGGTGAGAGCAAATACAGCTCAGGTGAGAGACAATACACAGCTGTCACAGCTCAGGTGAAAGACGATCACAGCTCAGGTGAGAGGCAATCACAGCTGTCACAGCTCAGGTGAGAGGCAATCACAGCTGTCACAGCTCAGGTGAGAGACAATCAACAGCTGTCACAGCTCAGGTGAGAGACAATCAACAGCTGTCACAGCTCAGGTGAGAGACAATCACAGCTCAGGTGAGAGACAATACACAGCTGTCACAGCTCAGGTGAGAGACAATCACAGCTGTCACAGCTCAGGTGAGAGACGATCACAGCTCAGGTGAGAGACAATCACAGCTGTCACAGCTCAAGTGAGAGACAATCACAGCTGTCACAGCTCAGGTGAGAGACAATCACAGCTCAGGTGAGACAATACACAGCTGTCACAGCTCAGGTGAGAGACAATCACAGCTGTCACAGCTCAGGTGAGAGACAATCACAGCTCAGGTGAGAGACAATACACAGCTGTCACAGCTCAGGTGAGAGACAATCACAGCTCAGGTGAGAGACGATCACAGCTGTCACAGCTCAGGTGAGAGGACAATACACAGCTGTCGCAGCTCAGGTGAGAGACAATCACAGCTGTCACAGCTCAGGTGAGAGACAAGTCACAGCTCAGGTGAGAGACAAATCACAGCTCAGGTGAGAGGACAATCACAGACAATCACAGCTGTCACAGCTCAGGTGAGAGACGATCACAGCTGTCACAGCTCAGGTGAGAGACAATCACAGCTGTCACAGCTCAGGTGAGAGACAATCACAGCTGTCACAGCTCAGGTGAGAGGCAATCACAGCTGTCACAGCTCAGGTGAGAGGCAATCACAGCTGTCACAGCTCAGGTGAGAGACGATCACAGCTGTCACAGCTCAGGTGAGAGACCATCACAGCTGTCACAGCTCAGGTGAGAGACGATCACAGCTCAGGTGAGAAACAATCACAGCTCAGGTGAGAGACAATACATAGCTCAGGTGAGAGACAATACACAGCTGTCACAGCTCAGGTGAGAGACGATCACAGCTCAGGTGAGAGGCAATCACAGCTGTCACAGCTCAGGTGAGAGGCAATCACAGCTGTCACAGCTCAGGTGAGAGACAATCAACAGCTGTCACAGCTCAGGTGAGAGACAATCACAGCTGTCACGGCTCAGGTGAGAGACAATCACAGCTGTCACAGCTCAGGTGAGAGACAATCACAGCTCAGGTGAGAGTCTATTAATACACAGCTGCCACAGCTCAGGTGAGAGACAATCACAGCTCAGGTGAGAGACGATCACAGCTGTCACAGCTCAGGTGAGAGACGATCCCCAGCTGTCACAGCTCAGGTGAGAGACAATCACAGCTGTCACAGCTCAGGTGAGAGACGATCACAGCTGTCACAGCTCAGGTGAGAGACAATACACAGCTCTCACAGCTCAGGTGAGAGACAATCACAGCTGTCACAGCTCAGGTGAGAGACAATCACAGCTGTCACAGCTCAGGTGAGAGGCAATCACAGCTGTCACAGCTCAGGTGAGAGGCAATCACAGCTGTCACAGCTCAGGTGAGAGACAATCACAGCTGTCACAGCTCAGGTGAGAGACAATCACAGCTGTCACAGCTCAGGTGAGAGACGATCACAGCTGTCACAGCTCAGGTGAGAGACGATCCCCAGCTGTCACAGCTCAGGTGAGAGACAATCACAGCTGTCACAGCTCAGGTGAGAGACGATCACAGCTGTCACAGCTCAGGTGAGAGACAATACACAGCTCTCACAGCTCAGGTGAGAGACAATCACAGCTGTCACAGCTCAGGTGAGAGACGATCACAGCTGTCACAGCTCAGGTGAGAGGCAATCACAGCTGTCACAGCTCAGGTGAGAAGCAATCACAGCTGTCACAGCTCAGGTGAGAGACGATCACAGCTGTCACAGCTCAGGTGAGAGACAATACACAGCTCAGGTGAGAGGCAATCACAGCGATCGAAACGTTGTGATCCATTATTTTCTACCAACGCGACTTTACCGAAAGAACCAGAAGCTAAAACAATTTACCAACACCGCGGCCCCGAAAACCGGCCAGCGTCTCTCTCCACCACCCCACCCCCCTCTCCGCCTTCCCATCATCCCATTTCTCCTCTCAACTCCCCCCGACCGATGGCGGCACCTGTGACGATGACGCGGTACTCGGAGCGGTGAGAGGGGGGGCCGTAGCGGCCGCGTGGGGGCCCCCCGAACCGCGATCCGAAGCGGGTCCCTCCACCGCGGGGAAACTCCACGCGCAGGCGGTAGCCATCGTAGTCATAGCCATCGCGGCCGTGCACGGCATCCTCCGCGTCCCTGAGGGTAGGGGGAACACGAGGCGAGACGGCAAAAAACAACTAGCTTAAGACAGAAAACGCGATAAAAATCGAGCAGCTATTTAAGAAAAACGCCAAACTGCAGTAGCAGACCATCTCGGTTATCGGCCGCGGATAATTCAAAATCGCGGATAATCCAAAAGCATAACCATTTGTTGTTATTTTACATTATGAGACCTCCTTTGCCAGTAACAAGATAGGGGAATAGGTTTTACCCTTTTAACTGGCACAAAAAACTGACACCTTTATTCAAGGCATCGTGTTTGCAATAACCACAACACAAGCAGTTAAAAAGAGACAACTCTGATAATGATATTGGCACTGTCCTTGAATTTGATTGGTCCACACCCGAGACGGCTTTCCTTAGAGCCCTTTAGTCTCCACTGGTGTTGGACCAGATGACGCCAGTGGAGACTAAGGGCTCTAAGAAAAGCGGTGTGGACCAATAAAATTCAAGGACAGTGCCAATATCGTTATCAGAGTTGTCTCTTTTTGTTTGCATTTTGACTGCTTGTGTTGTGGCTATTGCAAACACGATGCCTTGAATAAAGGTGTCAGTTTTTGTGCCAGTTAAAAGGGTAAAACCTATTACTATAAAATGTTGTTAGTGAACAAAACTAAAATTTGCAGGAAAGAATCGACCAATCGATGTGGGTGCTCAGTGATAATAACACTTTCCTGGTTCCGCACACTCCGCGCATTAAGTGCGACTGTACAACTACTGTACAGGCGGCTATCACGAGAATTTCGTAATTACCGGAGCAACGTATTTGTACAGTTTAAGCAACGTGCGACTTGTAATAAACATTTCCAAGAATGGCAACGCGACTAGTAATAAACATTTCCAAGAATAACAATGTATAACTAATAATAGGGTTCCCCCCCTTTTTTTTCTGGCAACAAAACGGAAACCTTTCTAAAAGGAATCGTGCGTGCATTAACCACAATACTCGTGGACAAAATGCAAACAAAAACACACTGACAATATGATGCACTGTCCTTGAAACCGATTGGTCCACACCAGAGACGGCTTTCTTTTTAAGCCTCGTCTCAATTGGTGCTAAGACCAGAGGACGCCAAAAGGGGAAAAACCCCTATTATTATATTTTGGTACTAGCAAAAGGAAGTCTAATGATGGAAACGTATAACTATTTTCAGATTTTGATTTAAAGCTTTCGTGACTGCAATGATTCATCTTCTTTGGTTCTTTCGGTAAAGTCACGTAGAATGAGAATAAAATAATAAATGGATAGAATAAAATTTACACAATAATATTCTCACGACGTTTCGGCCACAACACAAGCGGCCTTCATCAGGTGAAGGGACGAGACTGTCTGGTAGGACAGCCGCTTGTGTTGTGGCCGAAACGACGTGAGAATATTATTGTGTTATATAATTTTATCAATTTATTATTTTATTCTCATTCTACGTGACTTTACCGAAAGAACCAAAGAAGATATTTTCAGATTATTAATTTGGGCCGAAGGGAAAATCCAGGCATTATTAATTTGTCAAAATGTATTAATTTGTCAAAATCGGATAAACCGCACCGCGTATAAATGCAGTCGTTTTTTACATTTTAACCAGACCTTCTTCAAGGAGTGTAAAAAAACCATCATCACGCAAAACATCTGTCATCCTCGCATCAGCAGCGGCGGCTTTTTGGCTAGACGGTCACTCCCATCGCGTGGCGCTTTCATCAGACTGGCTTTCTGCGGCCATCTCGAATGCTCTTCCTTCCAATATCAGGACGCCACTGGTGGTGCGACGCACTTTTATAAACCGCGAATGAAAACTAAATTTCTTTTAAGACTGCTTTCAGAGGCCCACAGACTCGCACAGGGGCCAACGGACTCGCCCAGAAGACCACGGACTTTTACTTTCCCGCACCTTTCGATTTAAACAAGGTTGGCTACGGACGGTGCAAAAGAAGTTTAACATACATTCTATCATATGGCTGATGAAGATGCAAAGACGACTGCAACTGTGGACAAGCCGGCAGATAACCAAGGTTGGGGGGTGGTAGCGGAGATGTATCACTGTAATGTCTCCTTTGTATTTGTGGATCGGGGCATTACCTCGTTGTACGGCGTCCGTTATCGATGACCACAGCCGCGGTGGTGGGATGTTAACTACCTCGCCTGATGTACAGGAGGTTGTGGGTTCGATCCCTACCATGACCCCTGAATATTTGAAATTTTGCACGTTCTCCCCGTGTTTCGCGTGGATTTTTGTCCAGGTCCTCCGGTTTTTCCCTCCACATTTAGAAACATGCCATCAATCTCCACGTGACAAATATTCTGTACACGTGATGTCGATTCCAAATGTGAATGGGAAAACCGGAGGACCCGGACAAAAATCCACACGAACACGGGGAGAACGTACAAACTCCACTCACCCCAATCACTCACTCACTCACCATCTCACTCACCCGCTCACCATCTCACTCACTCGCTCACCATCTCACTCACTCGCTCACCATCTCACTCACTCGCTCACCATCTCACTCACGATCTCACTCACTCGCTCACCATCTCACTCACCCGCTCACCATCTCACTCACCCGCTCACCATCTCACTCACCTCAATAATTCCCTCACCCACCATCTCACCCCAATAATTTCCTCACCCACCATCTCACTCGCCCACCATCTCACTCGCCCACCATCTCACTCGCCCACCATCTCACTCGCCCACAATCTCACTCACCCGCCCACAATCTCACTCACCCGCCCACAATCTCACTCACCCGCCCACAATCTCACTCACCCGCCCACAATCTCACTCACCCACCATCTCACTCACCCACCATCTCACTCACCCACCATCTCACTCACCCACCATCTCACTCATCCACCATCTCACTCACCCGCCCACCATCTCACTCACCCTAATCATTCACTCACCCACAATCTCACTCACCCGCTAACCATTCTCACTCACCCGCTAACCATCTCACTCACCCGCTACTCAACTCTCACTCACCCCAATCATTCACTCTACCACCATCCCCACCACTCACCTGCCACGTCTAGAGGGGTTTTTGGGCAACATTTTAACTATTTTAGCTCACGTTTTGTTGAGCGAAGAACATACAGCATCAATAGGAACATATCAACCTCGCATCAACTGAAACCCGCACAAAATACAAATTCTGAGGTAAAAATATCCTTGAAAACATGATCGTTTTTTTACCTCAACCTTTCGCGTCAAATAAACTGTTTTAAGAAAACAATTTGACACTTTTAACCTCACGATTGAGGGAAAGTTTCCCTCAAACATTACAGCGACTATTTAAGATTGACATGCTATTCACCTTACAACATACTGTTTAAAACTACACTTTACCTCACGATTTTCAGAGGTAAAAATCCCCTCAAACATGAGCAATTGTTTAAAATTAACATGTTTATCCACCTTAAAACCTGTCGCGTCAAATTAGCTGGTTTTACCTTAACATTTAGACCCTTTTTTCCCCTCAAATAGATTTTGAGGTAAAAAATTCCCTCAAACATTACAGTAATCGATTAAAATTTACATATTTATTCACCTCAAGCTATCGCGTCGAATGACCTGGTTTTTAAGTTTAAAAAGTAGACACTTTTCCCCCCCTCACGTTTTTTATCGTGAGGTAGAAATTCCGTCAAACATTACAATAATCGTTTAAAATTCACATCTTTATTCGCCTCACAAGCTATCGCGTCGAGTGAGTTGGGTTTTAACAAAAAAATGTTTAACTTTTACCTCACGATTTGTCGAACGAACCCACACACACACAAGACAGACAAACCACCCACGTGTTCGCGGCCTAGCAACGTCGTTTCGCGCCAACCACTAACTACACACATCGACCTCAACCGTTTAAAACACACAAATGTTATTATTAAACCAATCTAAAATAATATTTTAAGATTTGCAATTTACAAATATGTAAAAGGGAATTGGGGCTTGGGGGTTTGTTGGTGGTTTAAATTAAAACAAATTTGTTTTACCTCACAATTTTACGGACCCTTAAAAAAACACTTCAAAACAAAATAAACTCTCACCACCACCAATTTAATAACCTACATTTATGATATCTGACGAATCCGATGAGTTACAAAGCTCTTTACAAGCACACACACACGCGCACGCGCGCAGAGTGTGTCCAGAGTTAAAACAAAACTCCAACCAACTTCTGCATCAACCTAATACCGATTTTATTATAAACACATTTTTTTTTACAAAACAATAATCTCGCAAAGCTTAGTTAGCAAACAGGGCACCGGGCGAGGTAGTTAACATCTCAAATTATAACATGGAACTCACGACCTTTGTGTACCAGGCGAGGTAGTTAACATCTCAACTTCTAATATGGAACTCACGACCTCTGGGTCCCAGGCGAGGTAGTCAACATATCAACTTCTAATATAGAACTCACGACCTCTGGGTACCAGGCGAGGTAGTTAACATCAAAACTTCTAATATAGAAATTATAATATAGAACTCACGACCTCTGGGTACCAGGCGAGGTAGTTAACATCTCAACTTCTAATATAGAACTCACGACCTCTGGGTACCAGGCGAGGTAGTTAACATCAAAACTTCTAATATAGAAATTATAATATAGAACTCACGACCTCTGGGTACCAGGCGAGGTAGTTAACATCTCAACTTCTAATATAGAACTCACGACCTCTGGGTACCAGGCGAGGTAGTTAACATCTCAACTTCTAATATAGAACTCACGACCTCTGGGTACCAGGCGAGGTAATTAACGTCTTAACTTCTAATATGTAACTCACGACCTCTGGGTACCAGGCGAGGTAGTTAACATCTCAACTTCTAATATAGAACTCACGACCTCTGGGTACCAGGCGAGGTAGTTAACATCTCAACTTCTAATATGAAACTCACGACCTTTGGGTACCAGGCGAGGTAGTTAACATCTCAACTTCTAATATAGAACTCACGACCTCTGGGTACCAGGCGAGGTAGTTAACATCTCAAATTATAATATAGAACTCACGACCTCTGTGTACCAAGCGAGGTAGTTAACATCTCAACTTCTAATATAGAACTCACGAACTTTGGGTACCAGGCGAGGTAGTTAACATATCAACTTCTAATATGGAACTCACGACCTCTGGGTACCAGGCGAGGTAGTTAACATCTCAACTTCTAATATGGAACTCACGCCCTCTGGGTACCAGGCGAGGTAGTTAACATCTCAAATTATAATATGTAACTCACGACCTCTGGGTACCAGGCGAGGTAGTTAACATCTCAAATTATAATATGTAACTCACGACCTCTGGGTACCAGGCGAGGTAGTTAACATCTCAACTTCTAATATGGAACTCACGACCTCTGGGTACCAGGCGAGGTAGTTAACATCTCAAATTATAATATGTAACTCACGACCTCTGGGTACCAGGCGAGGTAGTTAACATCTTAACTTCTCACCCCCTCAAGACTCACCCCCACACACCCCTCAGACTCACCCCCTCAGACTCAAACCCCTCAGACTCACCCCCCTCAGACTCACCCCCCTCAGACTCACCCCCCTCAGACTCACCCCCCTCAGACTCACCCCCCTCAGACTCACCCCCCTCAGACTCAACCCCCTCAGACTCAACCCCCTCAGACTCAACCCCCTCAGACTCAACCCCCTCAGACTCAACCCCCTCAGACTCAACCCCCTCAGACTCAACCCCCTCAGACCTAAACTCCTCAGACCTAAACTCCTCAGACTCACCCCCCTCAGACTCACCCCTTCAAACCTCAACCCCTCAGACTCACCCCCCTCAGACTCACCTCCTCACACTGATCAGACTCACCCCCTCACATTGATCAGACTCACCCCCTCAGACTCACCCCCTCACACTGATCAGACTCACCCCCTCAGACTCACCCCCTCAGACTCACCCCCTCAGACTCACCCCCCTCAGACTCACCCCCCTCACACTGATGAGACTCACCCCCTCACATTGATCAGACTCACCCCCTCAGACTGATCACTCACCGCCTCACTCATCAGACTCACCCCCTCACACTCATCAGGCTCACCCCCCCTTAGACTCATCAGACTCGCCCCCTCACTCATCATACTCACCCTCCTCCGACCCCCTCAGACTTACCCCCTTACCCTCTCACACCCCTCAGACTCACCCCCTCAAACCTCACCCCCTCACACCCCTCAGACTCACCCCCTCAAACCTCACCCCCTCAAACCTCACCCCTCAAACCTCACCCCCTCACACCCCCTTAGACTCACCCCCTCAAACCTCACACCCCTCAGACTCACCCCCTCAAACCACACACCCCTCAGACTTAACCCCTCAAACCTCACACCCCTCAGACTCACCCCCTCAAACCTCACACCCCTCAGACTCACACCCTCAAACCTCACCCCCTCAGACTCACCCCCTCAGACTCACCCCCACAGACTTACCCCCTAACCCCCTCAGACTCACCCCCTCATACCCCTCAGACTTACCCCCTCACACCCCTCAGACTTACCCCCTCAGACTCACCCCCTCAGACTTACCCCCTCAGACTTACCCCCTCAAACCTCACACCCCTCAAACCTCACCCCCTCACACCCCCATCACTCACCCCCTCAAACCTCACCCCCTCAAACCTCACCCCCTCAAACCTCACCCCCTCAAACCTCACCCCCTCACACCCCCAACACTCACCCCCTCAAACCTCACACCCCTCAAACCTCACACCCCTCAAACCTCACCCCGCCATCACTCACCCCCTCACACCCCCATCACTCACCCTCTCAAACCTCACCCCCTCACAGCCCCATCACTCACCCCCTCAAACCTCACCCCCTCACACCCCCATCACTCACCCCCTCAAACCTCACCCCCTCACACCCCCATCACTCACCCCCTCAAACCTCACACCCTCACACCCCCATCACTCACCCCCTCAAACCTCACCCCCTCACACCCCCATCACTCACCCCCTCACCCTCCTCCGAGCCCCCCCTCAGACTCACCTCGGATCCTCGAACTCGACGAAGGAAAATGGCGGAGCGCGTCTGTTTTTGAGGTCCACGTCCCGAATATTGCCGTATTTATAAAACAAATCTTCGATGTCCTTCACGCGAACGTCCGGGGGCAGGTTGCCCACGTAGATGCGGCAGTCGTTGTTGCCGGCAGGCCCACGTATCACGCCCGACATGGTTTTTGTTCGGTTAAATTTATATTTGAAAGGTGGCGTGTGTGGCGGTATGGGGGCGGGGGGTTGGTGGTGGTGGTGTTTCGTAGTGTGGTTGACGATGTTAGTTTGTGCGGCTGTGTTAATTGACGAGGGAGGGAAAGAGGTGGTGGTGGCTGCTGTGGGTAGCGATAAAGAAGAGGAACTGCGAGCGAAATCGGAGGAGGGAAAACAAAAAACAACAGCGAACGGGGGCGCGCGCGCGCGTGTAGCAGCGAGGACAGCGACTCGCAAGATGGCGGTGAAGGAAGAAGAGAGAGGGTGGGGGCGGGCGGGGGGGCACGGTGACGTCACGAGTTTTTTTCCCGCGCTTTTCGTTAACCACCACCCACTACCCCCCCCCCTTTTTTAGCCATAGAAGTGAATGGGAATTCATATTCTTAGTTCTTTCGGTAAAGTCACGTTGAAGGGAAACAATAAAATAATAAAATTTATATATAAAACAATAAAAAAATTCTCACGACGTTTCGACACCTGATGACGACCGTTTGTGTTATGGTCGAAAAGTCGTGAGAATTTTTTTTTATTGTTTTATATATAAATTTTATTATTTGATTGTTTCCCTTCTACGTGGTGACTCTACCGAAAGAACTAAGAATATGAATTACTGCAGTCACGAAAGCTTTTAATCAAAATTGAATGGGATTTGTGTGAAGGGGGGGGGCTAATAAAAAGGGGGTGTGGTGGGTGGGGGGGAATGTGGGCGGGGTTATTTAAATGAGATCCCGCCCCCACGTTGATTTTGCCTGGAGGAGTTCATAGTTCACAGTTCCATTTATTTCGGTATGGCCCTGTGAGCCATTCGGCTCTTGAATCGGGTGCAACCGCAACAAACAAAAACAAAAAACACGAACAAGAAAAACATCTTGAAGTGACTATGTGACTGTGCAAACAGAAAATAATAATAAAAATATAAAACAATAATTTATATTTTTATTATTTTATTGTTTCCCTTCTACGTGGTGACTTTACCGAAAGAGCTAAGAATATGAATTACTGCAGTCACGAAAGCTTTAAATCAAAATTTATTACTTTCGTGGTAATAGCAGAAACGAAATCCACGCTGTTGCGTAATTACGTCACCACGCACGCACGTCCGGTTGATCGATGTGTACGTGATGACGTCATGTGAGCACCGCCGTTTTTCGCGGTCCGCGGTGACGTCACTAGCAGAGACAAGAAACGATGTTGCGTCATTACGTCACTACGCACGCCAGTTTGACCGCTGTCTATGTGATGACGTCACGTGAGCCCCCACTGTCGTGACGTCACTCGTAGAAATAAAATTTCACGATGTGCGTCAACACGTCACTACGCACGCCAGTTTGACCGCTGTGTATGTAATGACGTCACGTAAGCCCCACCGTGAAAAATGGGAGCGGTGACGTCACTAGCAGCTACAAAATTCACGCTGTGCGTAGGTACGTCACTAACTCACGCACGTCCGGTTGACCGCTGTGGTGACGTCATGTGACCCCCACCGTTTTTCGCGGTACTCATTAACGTTACCCCCATCAGCTGGTAAAATAAAAAAAATTGTTTAGTGTATGGGTCTCTATGAGACTCTATGGGTCTTTGTGAGTCTCTACGAGTCTCTTTGTATCTCTATGGGTCTCTAAGAGTCTCTGTGTGTCTCTATGATTCTCTGTGTGTCTCTATGATTCTGTCTCTATGAGTCTCTGTGGGTCTCTGAGTCTCTGTGTGTCTCTATGAGTCTCTGTGTGTCGCTATGATTCTCTGTGTCTCTATGATTATCTGTGTGTCTCTATGAGTCTCTGTGGGTCTCTATGTATCTCTGTGTCTCTATGAGTCTCTGTGTGTTTCTGAGTCTCTGTGTGTCTCTGAGTCTCTGTGGGTCTCTAATAGTCTCTGTGTGTCTCTATGAGTGTCTGTGTCTCTATGTATCTCTGTGTCTCTATGAGTCTCTGTGGGTCTCTGTGTATCTCTATGTTTCTCTGTGGGTCTCTATGAGTCTCTGTGGGTCTCTATGGGTCTCTAATAGTCTCTGTGTGTCTCTATAAGTGTCTGTGTGTCTCTATGTATCTCTGTGTCTCTATGTATCTCTGTGTCTCTATGAGTCTCTGTGTGTCTCTATGAGTCTCTGTGGGTCTCTATGTATCTCTGTGTCTCTGAGTCTCTGTGGGTCTCTATGTATCTCTGTGTTTCTATGAGTCTCTGTGTGTCTCTATGAGTCTCTGTGGGTCTCTGTGTATCTATGTGTCTCTATGAGTCTCTGTGGGTCTCTGTGTATCTCTATGGGTCTCTAATAGTCTCTGTGTGTCTCTATGTATCTCTGTGTCTCTATGAGTTTCTGTGTGTCTCTATGAGTGTCTGTGTGTCTCTATGTATCTCTGTGTCTCTATGAGTCTCTGTGTGTCTCTATGAGTCTCTGTGTGTCTCTATGTATCTCTGTGGGTCTCTATGAGTCTCTGTGGGTCTCTATGGGTTTCTAATAGTCTCTGTGTGTCTCTATGAGTCTCTGTGGGTCTCTATGTATCTCTGTGTCTCTGAGTCTCTGTGGGTCTCTATGTATCTCTGTGTCTCTATGAGTCTCTGTGTGTCTCTATGTATCTCTGTGGGTCTCTGTGTATCTCTATGTTTCTCTGTGGGTCTCTATGAGTCTCTGTGGGTCTCTATGTATCTCTGTGGGTCTCTATGTATCTGAGACTCTGTGGGTCTCTATGTATCTATGTGTCTCTATGAGTCTCTGTGTGTCTCCATGTATCTCTGTGGGTCTCTGTGTATCTCTATGTGTCTCTATGAGTCTCTGTGGGTCTCTATGTGTCTCTGAGTCTCTGTGGGTCTCTATGTATCTCTGTGTCTCTATGAGTCTCTGTGTGTCTCTATGAGTCTCTGTGTGTCTCTATGTATCTCTGTGGGTCTCTGTGTATCTCTATGTGTCTCTATGAGTCTCTGTGGGTCTCTATGTGTCTCTGAGTCTCTGTGGGTCTCTATGTATCTCTGTGTCTCTATGAGTCTCTGTGTGTCTCTATGAGTCTCTGTGTGTCTCTATGTATCTCTGTGGGTCTCTGTGTATCTCTATGTGTCTCTATGAGTCTCTGTGGGTCTCTATGTGTCTCTGAGTCTCTGTGGGTCTCTATGTATCTCTGTGGGTCTCTGTGTATCTCTATGTTTCTCCGTGGGTCCCTGTGCGTTTTCAGTAGTTGACTGCGGCTAGAACTTTCCGCTTGGATGAGCAGCCATCGTTCGTGATGGCTTGGTCGCTTTAAAAAAAAAAGAGCTTTACCTGGTAAATAAAAAAAATAGTTTAGCATGGGTCTCTATGAGTTACGTGTCTCGATAGTTCTATGGGTCTTCATGAGTATGGGTCTGTGTGGGTCTCACTGAGTATGGGTCTCTGTGGGTCTCTACGAGTCTGTAGAAATGCCCGTTTCGGGGCATTGGGCTACTGCAGGGGGTAGGCAAATTTTTCGACTCGCCGGGCCACAGTGTGGGTTCTAAAATTTGACAGAGGGGCCTGGCCAGCAAACACATTGATGGAGTGCTTGCGTGAACTTAATATAAATGACGTGTTAAAAATCATTGCGTGAAAGGATTTGGCCTTTAACAGGTAGCAAAGCATTTCTGTGTGTCTCTATGAGTCTCTGTGTGTCTCTGCGTCTCTGTGTGTCTCTATGAGTCTCTGTGGGTCTGTGTATCTCTATGTTTCTCTGTGGGTCTCTATGAGTCTCTGTGGGTCTCTATGGGTCTCTAATAGTCTCTGTGTGTCTCTTTGAGTGTCTGTGTGTCTCTATGTATCTCTGTATCTCTATGAGTCTCTGTGGGTCTCTATGTATCTCTGTGGGTCTCTGTGTATCTCTATGTTTCTCCGTGGGTCCCTGTGCGTTTTGAGTAGTTGACTGCGGCTAGAACTTTCCGCTTGGATGAGCAGCCATCGTTCGTGATGGCCTGGTCGTTTTAAAAAAAAAAAGAGCTTTACCTGGTAAATAAAAAAATAGTTTAGCATGGGTCTCTATGAGTTACGTGTCTCGATAGTTCTATGGGTCTTCATGAGTATGGGTCTGTGTGGGTCTCAATGAGTATGGGTCTCTGTGGGTCTCTACGAGTCTGTAGAAATGCCCGTTTCGGGGCATTGGGCTACTGCAGGGGGTAGGCAAATTTTTCGACTCGCCGGGCCACAGTGTGGGTTCTAAAATTTGACAGAGGGGCCTGGCCAGCAAACACATTGATGGAGTGCTTGCGTGAACTTAATATAAATGACGTGTTCAAAATCATTGCGTGAAAGGATTGATTTGGCCTTTAACAGGTAGCAAAGCATTTCCTTGCAAGGCAATTTAACAAATTTCCACGAACATGGACAATGCAAAAACATGTCGTAACGTTTCGATTTAAAGCTTTCGTGACCGCAATGATTCATCTTCTTTGGTTCTTTCGGTAAAGTCACCACGTAGAATGAAAATATTATTGTGTTATTTTATTTTATCAATTTATTATTTTATTCTCATTCTACGTGACTTTACCGAAAGAACCAAAGAATATGTCGTAACGTGACTGATCAAACATGAAAACAGCGCCGTCTAATGGGGAAATGGGGGCATTACAGCAGAAAGGTAAAATTTAATTTTATTTAATAATAATAATTTGGGCAAAGTTCGACGGACCGGATTAAAAAGCCCAACGGGCCGTATACGGCCCGCGGGCCGTGCTTTGCTCATGTCTGGGCTACTGCTTTACATTTCCAAGTGATGATGATGATGATATCAGCCTCTGATATCATCATCATCATCACGAGGTTGAACCAATGCGATAGGGTGTCTGGGGGGGGGGGGTCCCAACCCAGAAGAAAATATCAAAAATTTGAAAACTCATTTCCTGCCTAAGATATTTAAAAAGTTCACTAACACGTGGATGGACTTTATTAATTTTTTTTACAATAATGTCGTAAGAGTGGCATTGTATTAGATTGCTGTTGTTTATTATTATTTTTTGGGTCACCATTTATTGTTTCATTGTGTATGCAATGGCAGAGATTAAGTGGCGAATAACGTACAACCTTATGCTTAGTTCTTTCGGTAAAGTCACCACCACGTAGAATGAGAATAAAATAATAAATTGATAAAATAAAATAACAATAATATTCTCACGACGTTTCGGCCACAACACAAGCGGCCTTCATCAGGTGAAGGGACGAGACTGTCTGGTAGGACAGCGCTGGAGTGTCCTACCATACAGTCCTACCATAATACAGTCTCGAAGAAGATGAATCCTTGCAGTCACGAAAGCTTTAAATAGAAATTTTAAGTACAACCGTC